CTTTCAGATTTAATACAGTTTTGGCAACAGACAAAATGTTTTCCAAATGCTTTAGGCATTTTTCAAATGCTTCTCGCATAGTTCTTCAGCATCTTTAATTTGAAAAGAAACTTACACAAAAACCTTTATGCTACATCATTTATCCAACACTGCATTTTTTTTCTTCTTCTGTCTTCAGATTTGAAGCAGCTGATCACAACCTCTAAAGTTTTAAATACAGTCTAAATTTAGGTTACAAAAATCAAATGTATCCTAAAGCATGGAGCTGTATTCCACTGTTTTAACAGACGCTTTCTCCCCATAACAGCACTACGAACGCTAGCAGTACAAAATTTTGACCAGGCTGATAGTTAGTGTAACACTTATAAAAAGTAACCAAGACATTTTATTTTAATTGGTGGCTTTCATTTACACAGAAAATGAAATTGTCCTCAAGAGCCTCATGTAATATAGGACAGAATGGCAATTTTCTGCTTGTCTGATATAACCAGTTATAGAATCCGTCTGGTATTTAAGAAATGTACATACTTTTCACATTACATTTTGAATATTTTTCTTAACTCCTTTTCATAATGTGATGATTTAACTATAAATCTTGTTTATCCACAGACGTTTAAGCAACTTGAAAAATATGGACCAACATATTCACCAAAGAAAACAGTCCACTGCAAGAATTCTGTAGACCTTAGAACACTGCACCTTTCATTTTTTCCCCATAACATCTTCAGTGTGGTGCTTCAATCATTTTCTGGCTGAAAGAATCAATTCACTTCCTCTTCAATTCACTCCAGCTCCCGTTGCCACAATTAAAGTTACTCACTCTCCACTCTCCAGATACATACCTCATCAACAAACCTCCAGACTAAGATATCACCCTTAGCAATAAGACCAAGTTTTCAGATGGCTAATAGGTTTATACCTGAGAGACTAAATACCGTACTAGAAAACAGTTAAATGGAGAGACTGGCTTTCACTACAAGAGGGGAAAAAAAAAAAAAAAAAAAAAAAAAAAGATTAGTTTTTGCTGGGGGTGGGAGGGAGGAATCACACAACTATCTGGATATTGCTAAAAGAAAGAGAATGTCATACTACATAGTTTTATGCATTCTAATAAAATATAATTTCTTACTGTTCTTTTCCTTGCCAATCATAATTTCTTATTTTTTAGATTGTGTTCATCTTTTCCCATTCTCAAGTGCTCAACACCTTAGGATTTTTCCTTCCTTGTATTCTTTTCTTTTTACCGCACACTTTGTTATAGTTTCTTTTCTTTTGCTTCAGCAAAGCCTGATTGACTGCAGTTTCTATAGCACATACAACCACTTACTGCTCCTGGCACATTTTATTTTCCTCAAAGCACATGCATTTCAAAAAATCTGACTATTGTGCTTTAAAGCCTGGATTCCCATTTCTTTTTATATGTAATAAAGATATAGCCTACTTTTGATCTTAATTACTTGTGTCTCACTAACAAGAAATGAAAACTTACTTATTTAAGCTATGCAACCCCTCTACAAAAAAATCTTTTTGGTATACCTTGACTTCTCATTTACATTAAGCAGGTAAACTGGAAAAAGAGAGTACTCTCTATTCAGAGCTAACAGTAAGAACAGAAGCAGCACAATACTTAAGCTAGAAGAAAAGCAGCACATTGTCATTTTATATTCACTTCTGCAATGTAAGCCTTTAGGCATGCATAGAAGTTCAGTTTTTGTACAGGAGTCAATATTAATCAATTGTTCCATTCTACCAAGCCCAAATGCCTTAAGAACATATGACCATAAAATGAAATACTTTTCTTTCAGATTTTAAACAATATGCTTCTGTGGATTCTTTTGTAAAAAACGCATCTAAATCAACTTTAGAAAAAGGACTGAAAATTCTCAATTAAGTAGAAATTGCCACACTTCCAATACACAAAAGCCTAAAAACCCTTTGCAGGAAGCCCGTATTCGATGCACTCATCATTAGTAGATGTACTTCCATAATGCATATTTTTTTTCCCTTTGTTGTGGAAAAAAGATAAGTCAGCTGAAATGATAACAAATAAGGAGAATACAGAATTAAAATTAGTGTATTACCTAGACAAAATATACCTAAAAATATTCCCCGTACACCCCTTTATCAAAGACGGGCCAGTAAAAATCTCTCAATAAAAACAGAGCCTCCGAATACAGCTGAAAAAACTGCACCTGACACAATCAGAAAACTTGCAGTTTTGGCTGAGATGCTTTGTGGTTTCCACTCCTAAAAGTGTTATTAAAAAATAATAAAATCTATGTGAGAATGCAAGGAAGGAGAAAAGCAGAGGCTAAAAAACCTTCAGCTTGAGTATGAGTCACAGAGGATAAAGGATGCAACTTGTCCTTAAAAAACTATGTTCTCCAAGTCCCTGCTACTACTAGACCAGAACACACAGCAAACAGTCTCTGTCATACAGCAGTCCACATTAGTATTTACTACAATATGCCTAATAAATGCCTTAGAAAGTGGAAGGGTTGAGGGGGACCACATCAAATACTGAATTCCACAGTGAATAAATGAGACAATTTAGACTTGAAATTGATGCATCAGGGGGAAATAATCACTTCAGAATTTTATCTTTTATAGAAAAACAAATTCTACAGGAAAACATGTATTATTAGTGTCCAGCCAACTTTGACTTAAAATACAATAAGATCACTCACTATATTGGAACACTAAGACAATTTTTTCAAACATCACAAGTTTTACAGAATTATGAGACGTGCAACAGGTGAGCAATCTTTCACAAAGCACAGGGCAGTAGTACTTTGAACACAATTTGAAAAAATAGAACCTGCAAGGCTAGTCTACAAAAATAAATTATTTTAAAAGACCACATCTTAATTGAAAAAATCCTAGAATATAACTATAGCTAAATCCTCACTCCTTTTCCTTAAAAATAAATCTAAAAGAAACATTAGGTAATTGCATTTGTGGTAAAGAAAAAAATCCACTCCTCCACACGTTTTAAGTTTTCTTTAATCATGTAAATGTATTAGCTAAGTATTTTCCCCAAAAAAACACTAAAACAAAAGTAAACTAAGTACTGGACCCACATCACCTCAAGTTTTAGACCATAAAGAGAGTTAAGAAAAAAGCAGTAGAAATGCCAAAACTGTTAAAAACAATCTGAAAATTATAATATATATTAAAATATAACAGCTTGGAATTACCTTTCCTTTCCAACCTGATAGGCTCAATCAATCAGTATTTTCATCCAACTGCAAGACATGTAAACTTACAAAGTACTGCCAAAACCAATCCACCTGCCTTTTTGTGGTACATCACCATCCAGATAGTTTTTTAAAAAGGAACTGGGTCCTCAAACTTTGCAACTGTTATGTACCCAAGGACAGTCAAGTTCTGGCTTCTTAAATTTAACATATTGTGATACTGTAATTCATAACATAACTGGGAGACAAGGATCTGAATTTTATCTTGGAATACAAACAAAAGGTGTGTGGATGGGTAGGCTTCTGACTCAGATAAGGAAATTAAGATCAGAATTCATAAGAATTCCATCTCTGATGATTAATAAAACATTTTATAGGCTTTTGGAGCAGATGCCCTGTAAGAATATGAACTCATGCATCCTCTTAAATAAGACACGGGAACACTTTGGTATTGAGGTAACGCTTACTAACCTCTCAGTGAAATTTCTGTCCTGCAAAGCACATACTAACACTACTTATTCATCAGTAATTCCAGCATAAAAAGCACTTGGATCACACTGACTGTCTCCACTAACCTCCCCAGTAAGAACACTTTCCCAGTTTTACTTCTCTTCAGGTTTTTAAGATCTCTGGAATAAAAGGTTTATTAAAGTGTCTATCCAAATTCAAAATCCATATAAATACTCTAAGCAGAAGGAAAGAGGTTATGCATTATCAGATTCCAGTGCTCTTCACGGATAAGACTAACATCAGCAGAGTGCATACCCAGATGAGATGAAGTTTACATGGAAGGGCAAGGAGAAAGATAAATGATTTATGGTGTGCTTAAATATGCCTTATTTACTTGATACAGTACACTTCCATATCACCTTTAAATTTCATTTCAAATCATCAGGCTTAATTATACTAACTAGTTCTAGGAAATAGTTCTACTATTTCTACTAATAGGAGAAAGCCAGATAGTCAGCCTTCTTTTGAATTAGCCATAATAAGCTAAGATGCCATAAAGAACCCATCAGTGAATAGGGATTACGGACAAGGGTACTAAAGAGACCCCCTTCACCCACCATTACTGTATGTGATGTCCCATCTGTAAGTAAACTCTGGAATGTTTTTCTACTTAAAATGACCAGCATGCAAAGTGCTTTGCAGGTGTCAAAAGGCATGCTATTTTAAATTCTCATCATTCACTGGTAAGTGACATTTAGTATAAAATAAAAAAATAAAAAAATTCTAAAAAGCTTTTAGTCAAATCTGGACATATTGGTCTCCACAATTACTATTTGCTGCAATGCTTATAATTTATAATTGATTTTTGAAGACTTGTTTTTCATATCAACATTTCCTCTTTCAGCAAGTCAGTCATTACTCAGCAACTGAGTCACTAGAAGGTCTTACTACCACCTTCCACCCATGAGCAATTCTCATTTTACTGAAATATATCAAAGTGCATAAAGGATTTTCCTCAGAGATATTTATATGCAGTTATTTCACTTATATTTCAACTTGCACAATCAGCACTTATAGTCTTCTTAATAAAGACTGGGTCTCAAAGAATCTGGTACAACTTGGGTGCCTATTGCAGAAAGCTTTAAGGCTGATTATATACAGTGCCAGAATTGCACATTTCAAAGTTATAAACTAAGTATTTATCTCAGGATTGTTGAGGACCACTGATAGAATTAATTTACCTTCCCAAAAAAGCAAGGTCAAGTCTTAAAAAATACAGAGGAAGCGGTTTAGAATTCAGAAAACAGATAATGTCTAGAGGTAAATAAATTAAAAATGCAATGTATTCATTCGTTTAATTATAAATAATACATTTTTTTTACTATTGTAACTTCCAACTACATCTCTTACACCTTCTAGCAAAGGCCATATCTGGCAATACAGCCTATTAAAGGTATAAAAAGCCAAAAATACCAGGTAACTTTTAATAAACACTACCATAAATATCTTCCAGATTACATCTGAAGATACAAATAAGAGAGTAAGCGTCAAAGTAGGGAAAAAAGAACAAAATTTAAACTGAGAGATTTCAGTGAACTTCCTACACAGTAATTTCTTCACAGCAACTGAATGTACTCTGGCTAACCACATACAGCTGACTCCACTGAGGAGAAAAACCTTACTTTTCTGAAGTGTGGTTGTTGATCACCATGGTGGCAAAAAGCAGGTTTCCAGGTCATGGTACCTGAGAGAAGGCCAGTGCCTGTTTTAAAGAATTTATCTCACAGAAAAGAAAAACTGTGAAACAATCACACAGTTGAAATATTACAATTAGTTTAAGGTTGGCAGGTTCCACTGGAACAAACTCTTTCTATCTAATCTTAATATCTCCCAAGAACCTTTAATGATATCTTGAAAGAAATTAAAGAAGTGCAAACTGACTGCAAAGGGACACAAATGGAAAAACTAAGTGTGCTATATATTTTCAGGCAGCTATATTTGCCTAACTAAACCTCAAGTCTTAAGTTCTGAATTGCAGTAAAGATACTGACAGACTCTTCTGTGGAAGTTAAGTCATGTAGCTTTTTAAAATGGATTTTGCCATGGGAATTTTTGTCTGCGAGTCTAGCGCTGTTCCAGAAACAGAAGCAGTGCTAACAGTGCAGGAAGCCTACTGCAAAAGTAAGTGAGGTACGGTGCTGAGGTCACTGCAACTTCACAAGCTTTTCAGCCCTTTACACGACTTCTTTCCAAAACGGTAGCAGCCTGAAGATTTCTTCTGCCAAGTCTATAGTATCTCCAAATCCACATGACGAACATCAGGATTTCGTTGCTGAAATAAAAAAATAAATATTTTTTCTTGAAAATATTTAAATACATTTTTGCACATGGATACAAATAACGTATTTCTGGTATGATGTTGGCAACTGGATAACAAATCCCCTTTTCTGGTAACATAAGGACTACTTTGACACAGGGACTATTTTAAAATGAGCAATAGCTTCAAACAACACTGCCCATACTATAAGCAATTTTTTGAAGGCCAAGTCATCTTTTTATTTAACAAATGCTTTTCAACATCATAGATAAATTAGTTCTTATGCTTTATAAAGTATGAGGCAGCTCTCTTGATTTTAAAAAGGCAGCTAGTTTTCATATAAAACTATCCAAACATATGTATATCTCACTTTAAGGAAGTTTAACAGATACTTTCCTGAATAATGGATAAGATTGCTGAAATAATTTGTTCTATGCCATTTAAGCTATTTATAAAGATTCAAAATACTGTTTCTATTAAGAAATACGCATTTTCTAATATTGTAGAAATATGTTATCGTCATTACACAGATTGTATAATCCATGACAGGTTTTCTGAAAGTCACCAACGTCAAACTCATCCAGCATGTGAATCCGACTAGGATATTTAGTAAAGCATATTCAACAGCAACACAATCACTGAAATCCCTGCCTATACCAAAACCAGTATTCATGTTTAGAAACTAATTAGTCATGATCCTGCTCCTCAAAAACCATGAAGAACTGTAGCTGCTCGTGCAATTAAACTAAAAAATAATACTTTGATTTTTAAACAGAACCACTCCAGGATAGAAACTAAAACTAGAATATTTATCAAATACAATAAGCAAGGACAGACATGCTCTTGAACAGTGTCTCTGACAACCAAAAAAGGCAGTCATGACAGGAGTGTATTTGTCTGGCAGTCAGTGTACTTATAGTTCTGTATTCATGCCAGAAAATGTAAGATTAACAGCCACAATATAATTATAAAATTAAAAACTGAAAGAATCCTTTGGTGCATCAACCAAAGGATATTTAAATCACAGAAGGAAAAAAAAAGTAATTACAAGAAAGCTATTACAGGCTTATAAAAGAAATAAACACTGTACTGTTTCAACAAGAGCAAAAAATGTTGAGTAAAGGCCTCATCACACACTGATATATTTGACGCAATGCTAAGTACCAGATTTAAAATAAATAAAAAAATAAAATTGAAATTTGCTTCTTTACAACTAGAACAGAATTCAGCAGCCTGTAAATAACCTGATGTTCTGAGAATATGGTAACAAAGAGAATCAGGTCTCAAATTTTTTTTCTCAAATTTTCACAAAAATATTGTTCTACAGCTGTATAAAACTGAACAACGAACGTAACAAATGCATCAATGGCAAAGTAAGGGTTTGCTGCTGGTCATAGCTTAGTTAATGATGATACTATAGAAAGAAAATCTGCATTAGAAATATCAACCTCTTCCTCAGTCATACTGTTTAAAATATATCACAGAATAAGCACTCCTTAATAAGCAGCTAAATTTTACCTTTAGGTCCTTCTCAAGTCTATCTACTTCAGCTCCCAGTGTGTCAATGATATTCTCACCATGTTTAAGCATGAAGGCTTCTAATTCTTCAAGGGTTTTCACTTGTTGAATTTCCTAGGAAGAGAACAAATTTAAGAGGTTGAGATGAGGGAAAGAAAAGAAAGGAACAACACTATAGAGGGTCCTGACATATTTCAAGTTGAGGAGGGTGGGACCCAAACACTTTGCAACTTTTGCCTTTCCTTTCAAAACATCATCTGTTCCTATGTCTCAAGGACACAGAACAGCAGCATCTACTCAATGAAAACAGGTGGCTTACCATTACACCTACACTTGATATAAAACCTTCTTCTATCTTTAATGGATTTCCTCCCTCATTTTCCAAATAAGTTTAGAGAATTTAATTCATTTTCTAGAAGTTTCTGAAAGTATTCCTTGCTCACAGAAGGGCAGATCAGGGTACCCCTGTGTATTTTTTTTCCTCATTCTCCCCCAAATACATTCTTGCATTTCTATTACCCTGCTTACTCTGGGCATCACATTATCAACTCATCTGAAAATCCACAAGGATTACTATGAGTGCTGCTGTAAATACAGCTCCTCCATAATATCAAAAAACTCAAAGACAGTTGATAGGAACTCAGACTAGGAGACCCATAGCACACAAGATTGAAGGAATGAGGTTAAGGAAGACAGGATGCTATGCTCCTCCCTCCAAAAAAACCACAGACACTAGAAGCACCAAAGCAGGTATTACAGCATTGTCATAAACCTTCCTAGAGGTCTCACATCAAGTTGGCCAGAAGCCATTTGCCCTGTAGTATCTCAGCCATAGTTTAGGCAATACAGCTGCAGTATGTTTAGGACAAATAGGTTATTGCTAACAGACTAATTATTAAATAGCCAATTCTTCTTGTGTATACAATTACAATACAACATCAATTTCTTCCCACCACCATTACCCTAAAACTGAAGAGGAAGAATGTAACTGAGTGGGCTTAAAAGGCATTTCAACAACAATAACATGACTATGATCACTGCAAGTCTAACAAGAAATGAGATTAATCTGAATTATAGCATTTCAACAAGTAATTCACAACTTTAGAAAGAGTAATGTTGATAGCAATGCTAGCTGAATAAACTAGTTATTTGAAAAACTATAGATCAAGAGGCAAGCATGATGTCTGCCCCTGACTTTGGGTGGCTGAGCCCTGCTGAAAGTGGCTATCCTTCTACAGTGATTTTATAGCTGATACAAGGTTACTACATGAAACTACAATGACCTGTGTGAGAAATAGTTGCCAACCCAGAACCAATCAGGAAGAACTTTCCCAACAATACTAGGTGGAAGAACCAGCGAAGGTTATATACAATCACCAAAGGGAATAGTGGGTAAAACCCAAAAGCTAACACAGCCTTTGAAAAGAAAAGTAGCGTTCTGAACAGCTGCAACAGTGAAGCAACCAAGACTGGGCAATACAAAACCAAGCAAACCTGCAGTGCCTCAGTTGTACAAAGCTCACAGTGCTCCCCCTCCCAAAAATGGATTAAATTGACATGTAATACATAAACAGATAACTTATCACACTACATATATATATAATATACATACATTCTTATTTTTACATTAAAGGGTGGTACTTTTTAAAAACTGGGACACTGACTAATGGTTTAAAATTGCAGTAATTTAAATGAAAACTCAGATATCTAACTTCTAAGTCATGTTTAACCGACAGACATAAAATGCAGACATCTGACATCTACATCTCATTTTGAAAGGGCAGCAAAGAAAAATCTTGTAGGTACATAAACAAAGGTATATAAGCAAGTTACTGGTGAAAAATGGGTAAGCAAGCAAACCATTTTGCCCACTTAAAACTCTCCTTTTCATTTAGTTATTCTTTTACTTCATAGCTTTCCCATGTAGAATCCAGTTGAAAGCAGTCTTGCATTTCTGTACTTGAGAGGGATTAAGAAAAACTACTCTGAAAGACACTAAAATCAGAGACAGACACTTACTTAAGGGTGGTTAATTGTTAAATGCTGTCAAAATGCTAAGTCATTTGATGCAAACAATCCATATTCAAGCCTAGTCTGAATGGCAGGATCTGTAAACCGTAACACTGCATCTTCAGCACCCAAGGCAAATGGCTCTGCCAAAACAGCTGCTTAATCTCAGATGACAGGCTTCCACTTTTAACTAGAGATCTTGTAATTCAATAAAAAAAATTTTGGAAGAATTATCAACAAAATTATTTTGGACAAATCTCTTTTTTCTGATAAAAAAAAACCCCTGAATTTAAAAAAATTCTGCCCTCCTTTCCAGGTCCTCCTCAGCCCAGAAATGGCTCTATTTCAGTAGCACATAATACAATTCCACGTACAGATATTTAACACACTAACACAAAGTAAAAACATCTGCAATCCTTCAAAATGAAGAAGTGGAATATATATCATCTACTTGAAAATACTGGGTTTAGACATACTTGAAACTGGAAAATAAATGTCAAATACTGGAAGTTACAAAATATTTTTTTTAAAACATACTTGTAGCAGCTGTTCAATGTCTTGTTTTTCCAGGTAAGAACGAGTAACAACCCTTCCATCAAAGTCTACTTCTGCCTTGAATCTCACTTTGCTCATTCCCATGTCTGTGGCTTTAACATCATGAATTGCTCTGAAATACATAATTTTTAAAGAAAATGTATAACAACGTAAAACAAACAACTAGCTAGTGTGACTTCTGGTGTTAACAATATTGTCACAGTAAAATGATCCTGTAATTTTAAAAGGCCACTGCCTTTGCCTAACATATCCTCATTTTGCCATCACACACTTCCATTAAATACTGATTTATATTTAACCAGTTATACCACTTCCACAAGTACCTGCTACCCCAACACATCCATAAATGGCTCGCTGCAATAAAAGACAGACTACAAGAAGCATTGCAGATTTAGAACTAGACTAACAGTATTAAAACGAAAAAATCTCACAAAAGAGAGAACTTCTCTATTCTGAGTTAAAAGTTTTAAGCTCAACTTACTTGTTACTGCACAAAAGTTTTTGTGCATAAACATAATGCTGTTTAACAAGCTTTAAGTACTCTCAATTCTGAGGTAAGGAACAATAATCTACTGTCAGTTCCTGAAAGCACACACTGTGGTTATAGACATGTCCTTTCCTAGATAACCACAATGTGTAAAGGCACGACTTTTTGGAGAATTTCTATTCAGAGTTACATTTCACATAAGAAATTATGGATACTGTGTTTGGAACTTATTTTTGATCATACTGAATTACTGACCACAATAAATCACAATACAGTTATTTGCAAATGCTGAAAATTTATATTTATTTAAAGGTTCCTAATAGATACTAAAACATGAATGTTGCAATATGTTTGTATTTTGGTCCTTTGAAAACCTCTGGCTTTCTATAGCATATTTTTGTTCCAGTTTGTGAGATAAACTCTATGATGTGTGAATATAGGTAATAAACAAAAAGCCTTATATTTTTCAGGGATAATAAGAGATGAAGAAAACTCAGGACCCAGACATATTGTGGTGCATTTCAACAGTGGAATAAACAAAAAATAAAATTATAAAATACTCTTCTTTTTTTTTCTAATTAGATAACACAAACTTAGTTTATCTTTAAAGATAATAATTTAATATTGCCACTGCAGAGTAAATTTCCACATTTTTCCATCCAGGCCAGATAAAAAGCAGAGACTAAAATATGGAACATAAGTCACAAAAGTTTCAAATTTTTTAAATTCTTTCTTCTGATATTTCCAAAGCAAAATAAGTATCTGAGGTCAACTATAAAATATTCCAAATACTCTGGGTTTATTAACAGAAAAATGCAATTGTGACAATTTTTAAAATTCTAACACAAAATTTAGATTCAGCAGTAAAGCTCACTTGATGGAAAGTACAAAGCTTTCTTCCACTGTTCATTCCACTAAGTTGTGCAATTTCACAGCATCTTTAAATTTAGTGTGCCTTTTGTCCTAGGCAAATTTACTCTTCCCCTCTTCCCAACTAGAAATGCTCCTTCTTATCTGAACATTTATAAATCAGAACTAACTTCACAGGTGGTGCAGGAAGAAACTGGAAGGCATGTATTTCAGAAGTAGCCTGCTCGAGTGAACAGCCAGAGAACAGGAGGCAAAAATTTAAGATGAATAGTCACAGGAAATGTTTATAGAATAATTCTTGTAATACTTAGGGTGGACAAGGGGTAAGTACACCAAAAAAGAAATAGAATGTGAACTAAATACAGAGACACCAAAAAATATATCTTAGTAAACATTTAAGCAGATTAAAAGAACTATCAGCTTACTGTTAGCGATAAAGAATTTCCAGCTCCAATCAAATTTACACAGCTATTCTGTGGGAAGCTATCAAATCAAAATAGTATTAACTGGAGTAACCTAACTGGCATCAAACTGCCTCCTCACACAAGAGGGTATTTAAGATAACGGATGTGGTTCAATGAGGGTTACTGAAGAAAACTTTAATCCATGTGATTCAAAAATGTTGAAGATATATTAAGTGCCTATCAGAGCTAAGCAAGAAGATAACAAGAGATATTTGATCTTCTCATTAAGCAGTAACCTGATAAAATTCACTGGAACGATGCAAATTCTGTAAATATGAAGAAAAAAGTTTACCTTACTGCTTATGATCTGTCCAGGAAAGATAAGACAGTGAGTCAGAATAATTCAAAAATACAAATGTGCATGCTAAAACTTAAGCTACAAAGCTTGCTTATAGAAGCTTCTGGATTGCTAGTAGACACCATCAATCCAAACTAGGGAAAAGAGTGCAAGTTTCACGTTACAGAAAAATTTGTTAGAGGACATCAAGTTATTGGTTTTGAGCCATCAGTTGTAATACCTTTTCTCCTCCACACCAGAATGACAGATTTTTTCCAGCACAACAGTAGCACAATTACCCAACAGCTGTTACAATGAAGTAAAAATTAAAGATGAAACTGTCACTAAGAATAGTTTATGCCTAGGGATCCATTGTTACATTCTTTAAGAACAGAATCAGGACAGTCTGTACCACGTCATATATTTTATTTCACAGTTCTGAAAGCCTAATCTCCTACACTTCAGTTAAGATAAATACAAGAAAGATTTAGGCACCAAAGGGGTGAATAAGAGTTAAAAATGGAATGTTTGTATAGCAAAAAAGAAAATAAAATAATTTTCCAGATGATAACAACTCTGATTGAAAGCCCATTCTGCATCACAAATGAAGTAAGTGCTACAGCTAGAAATTACCAGGCAAAATGGAGAAAAAAAAAAAAAAAAGGGGGGGGGGGGGGGGTGGGGGTGGAGTGGAAATAAATAGCCATGAGCCTAAAAAAAGAAATTATGAGGTTCAGCAAACTGACAGCAGAAGCATAAAAAGGAGGCATTGTGTGTAATTCAAAGCAGTATTTTTTAAGTATAGCAAAACCAAAGGATAACCTGGAAACAAGCCTGCTACTAGATGGAAGTGTTAAAATTGTTAACAATTATACAGAATAGGCAGAAACACACAATAATAATTGTTTTCTTGATCTAAAAAAAGTAAAACGATATATTAGTACAACAAAGCATTTCCCTATTAGTAGCAGAGAAGCATATTGGATATTTCAAAGGAAAAAAATGCTTCTAATTCAGCAGGCTCCATAACTTGGCATTCAACAGTAAAAAGAATGAAGAATAACTGTGAAGGCAAATTAACTTTTCATCCTGCAATACTGATGAGAATTTAAAACAAAAGAGTAGATTAACAACGCTGTGCCAAAATTTAAGAACAGCAAATGAGGTAATCCACTTAACTAAAGACAACTTCACCTGGTAACACAAAGAAAAAGAGTGAAAAATGTGGGAAAAAAGGTAAAAGTATTAATTCCAGTCATTAAGGTTTTAGGAAACATAGGTCTTGTCAAACAACTCTGTAAAAAAAAAAAAATTAAAATTAAATTAAATGAAAAAACTGACATTTAGCTGAAGAAAGATCAACACCACAGAGGTTATTTATTTCAGTAGTACAGCAGTTAGTATTGTTTGATACATCAAATACTTTATAATTAGCAGCATAACACATTCAGGCAGGCTACTGATGGAATAGTAAGTTAAGTGGTGGTGGTGCTGACAGGGGCAGAGGAAGGGTGAGCAGAAATCACAGCCTTTGGATCTTTTGGTCAATATGGATCTAAAATACCTTTTGATGAATACTAAAGGATTCCTTAATATATCCCCTTCATATTTGGCAGAACACATCTGAAAATAAAGATTGCAAATCCTCCCTGAAAGAATAAGCAAGAACCGTTCTGGGAAGCAACAACTGGAAAAGGGATTGCATTGAGAACTCGGATATAGTTTGATAACTGAAAACCCTGAAAGGTTGAAATAAAAAGAGCGAATATTAGTCACAGCTTTAGTAGCAGACCAGTACTCAGGAGCTTTTTCTTTTACGTTTGGTGTCAATAGGAAAAATCTAACTGTAGGACATACAACTCCATTTAAGAAAATGGGAGAGTTTGAATGTTCAAGAAAATGCTGAAACTCGCTATGCTGACAAAAATGTACAAGTAGCCTTTTGAAGAAATACTTGATGCTAAAGGACTTCCTCATTTCACAGGAAAAAGTTGAAAACAAACTAAAAAACCTAACTAACAAAAGCTTGGAATAAGAAAAAACACTTACAAGTAGCGGTTTCCCCAAATTATGCCTAGTTCCAAGCAAGGGTAATATATACTTACATCTCTGAGAATTCTAATGTTAAAGCCAGGTGTGTTATTAGAACATATAAGTTAACCAAGCTCAAGACATTAGGCTTGTTACAAGAACAGTTTGGTCAAAGACAAAGTGTGCACTAAGAAAAATCAAAGCAGATCATGTAATGGATGTAAGAAAGAGACCACTCAAGATAAAATGCATACAGAAGGTCCTGCAAACAGTTTTATGAGAAGTATTAAACATGGTTCAGCTTCTAATCTTAAGAGAAAAACAGTTTCTTACCCAGTCTTCACTTTTTTTATTCTTTGTGCTTTTTAAAAATTAAGTTACTACTTGTTTAAAAAAACAAAAGTCTACAGCAAGGAGATTAAATACATCTGCTCTGTTGCAAACTTACAGCCATCTACAAAACGGAATAGAATATAAACTGGTGCTCAGGATAGGAGAAATTTTATTAGTCCAGCCTGAGACAAGCAAAATCCACCTGTGCACTTTGGAAAAAAAGAACTATGAAAGCCATGTACAAATAACCAGGTGAACTCACCTACTCTAACATGTTGACACATGTTCCACCATTCAGACTAATCCAGGGCCACCACAAGTACTTTGAGTTTAGTTACTGACATGTGAAAATTCTAACACAATTCTGTTCCAAAACAGGAATCTCTTTTAGCTTCTGGAACGAAGGGCATGTTGTTCAGACCTGTTGCTTGCAACAGAGATGATGCAGCACTTGGTTTCTTTCAAGTATTCTGGTGTTAACAAATGGGCTTGTTTGGTTGGTTTTTTTCCCTCCAGAGCTCAGTAATACTACAAATAAAAAAGCCCTAAGATATTCCAACTGATTTACATAGAAATATATTCCTGAATAAAGATTAAAAAGAAAAAAAGGGTTTTGCTTCTAAGTCAAAGTTAATAGTGTTAAAGTAAGCTAAAATAGCTCCTTAAAAAGCATTTAAACAAGACTTCAGAATTACAATGACCTATAAATTTATTTCACTACAAAGAATTTTCAAAGAAAGATAAATTAGCATTGAGTTCATTTTGTAAGCATCTAACATGCAGAATCTATTACATCATAATACTACTGCAGCACTTTACTGAGAACTGCTACAGAATTCCAGACACTTAATATTAACAGCAAGAATTTAAACATTTAAGCGCTGATAAATTATAAAAGCCGCATCACAGTATCATCTAAGTGCTTGCATTTCATGCATTTGAGAATAGTGTTAAGTTTGTGATGGCTTTCTCATAAAGTCATTGTCAAGTCTTGTAATTAATGTAACTGTTAGAACATATTTGTCACCATTTCAGCTGTGGAACATCTGAGAGGTACAAGTATTTACTTACTGAAATTTTTAGCACAGAAATATAAGTTAGCAATAATTAAGATTCCAAAATTTCAATACAGAAAAATCTACCCTAAAACAATAAATCTCATTTCTCTCATTTAAAGTGCTTGAACTATTTTTTCCAAATGTTATTTTCTTGCTTTTTGTTGTTCTTAGTAGAAATTGAGCTGTAAAGGTTCTTACCTTACTACAGGATCACTTTCCAGTAACTCGGTGAGTCTCTGCAGCTGTTCAGGTTGAATGGATCGTCCCAGCAGGGCTTCAGTGTTGGTGTAGATTAGAAATGCTGACACAGTTCCTAACAAAGTTCCAACCCCTAGAGACCCCACACTGTCATAATAAGGGTTTCCTAAATAAGACATGTCAAATTAGTTTCACAGAACATTTCTAAAACACAGCAGATAATTCAGATTTCACACTGAAAAGAGTACACAGTTTGAGGGCTTTTTTGGTTTTTGCTTTTTAGTGGGATTTTTTTTTTTAACGCACTTGGCAATTCTTTCCTACTGAGGAACAAGATGAAGCTGGAAGAAAACAAGTTATCTTAAAATAAAATCTCAACACCCTCCTGTCACTCAGCCACTCCCATCTCCTGCAGGACTAATAAACTCTTGTCAGCTATTTGGGTTTTTGTGTACAGATTTACTTTTGTTGATATAAAATTATATATGCTTAAACATGGGTAGTACCACAGAAGTCTTGTATTCTTTTATCAGTAACTCAAAAACTTGCAAGTATTAACCATTTCTGGAACACAGTACTTATAAGTTTTAAACATGCATTCACTGATATTCAGATTTGTAGAAACAGTCATGTATTTTTAAGTTTATGAAGAAAACTAGAGATGGAATAAAAATCTAACTTCTATATTAAAAAATGAAACTTGCAATTAACTCATTAGAAGCCACAAAGAAACAAAATTACCATATTTGGTTTTTTAAACAATTGAAAAGCCAAATCCAATACTTAAAAAGAGACAAATAGTCTTCCCTCTTTAGAAAATTTAACTGTGCAGCAAAGACTTTGAATCAGTTGCCATATAGATCACTCTACCTGTATGAGTTTGGTTTACCACACTGTTCAGGAGCAGCTATTGTAATCTGAACGTAACACTAATACCACTACATATCAAAAGGAAGGAAAGAACTGCTTCCTTAAATCCTCCCCACATGCTCATGGAGCTGCACACCATTGAATAAGGAAGCTCAAATTATGTAATCCCACCATGGTACAAAGTCATTTACATAACTAATTACAATAAATAGACCTTTAGTAAAAAATACCTTAGTCTGTATGACAGAATAGCTCAAAATGAATTTAGACCCATCTACATGTACCCTTTCGAGCTTTACCCCAACAATAACAGACACAGGAAAAAAAAAAACAAACTTTTTTTTCATTTTAAGTATTTTCAACTCAAACTACTAGAAATAAGATCAGAGAACAGTATAAACCTCCAGAAGCTTACACAGCACAAGTATCAGAAAAAGAACAGAGATGTATTTAAGTCAACCAATGCAAACTAAATGTTCTGTGTTCATATTACATCCTGCTTGCCTCAGTCTGAGGCAGACTTTTACCTGTTAAAGAAGTCAGACCCATACAGGTAGCAGCTACAGCCACACTCAGAACTGCTGCAGCGTCTTCCAGTAACACCACATTTGTACTAGGATCACGACTCTGCACAACTGCATATAAAACAAAAAAACCACATTGCTTTGGAAAGCTTAGCTTTACTGCATTATGCACAGTACTTAAATTGTACTACCATCAGCAACTTAAGACAAAAACTTCCATAAGTATATAGGTGTAAACTGAATTTTTGCATATGCTCACACTTCTGAAAGCATTCATAAACACACAGAACCCTGTGCCAATTATGGAAGCTTCTCCAAAATGCTGGAAAAATTTGAAGGGGCATATTTCCTGAAAAATGCAAGTAGTTATTAGTAAAAGTATCTAAGTAGTGTTACTTAAATCAACAGGTTTGCACTTAATTTGTAAAACGTATTTGTTGCTAGATTCCATTTTGAATAACCACAAACACTATTGCTATAACAACACGTACCATATTGATAGAATGACAGACCCTTGGCTCGAGCACTCCTGCGAATTTCATTTATAGCAACCAGAAGGGTAGCTGAAACAACATCAAAGTAGTTGCTGAAAATGGTTAAGAGGCAAAAAGACTTGTTTCCATTTTGAGAAGAGAGAACTTTTCTTTATACCATAGCAACAGATCATCAAGAAAGCTCTGATTATTGATACTTTGAATAATGACAAAGCATATAGACCTTCTTCTCTACACGCGTGTCACCCACATAAATTGGAACTTACATTCATGGATAGTTTAATACCAAGAAGGCATTATACATATACTTTCCAAATTATGTGTTCTTTGACTTCTTATTATACAGATAGATAAGAAAAAAAAGTTTTCCCACTTTTTCTTTGTTTGTTTACAACACAAGTATTTGCAATAGAGCTCAAAACTTCACTGTGTAAGCAAGGAGCAATTATTGCTGTAATTACTCACATTGTACTCTCAGAGATTACGAATACTTAAATAGAAATATTTCTTGAGACTGCATACCTCCTTCAGACACCAATGACCCTGCTAAAATGCAGTATGCCTGTAGGAAAAAAAAGTCTCAATTATTATGTTATACAAATATTTGTACAGATCTCTTCACCATAGACTATCCAAATGCAGCATTCCAGAATCTCATTACCCACGTGCCATGTAGCTGCCCCTAAACAGAAAGCAACCAACAATATTTGAATTATGCAATATATTGCAAAATAGGAACGGAGGATCTCTTGGGAGCTCTGAAGGGAATGTGCAGGGTTTAAAGAACAACTCATTTTGCTGTAAGATGAGCTGTAGTTTAACTTTTTTTTTTTTTCTTAAAATACATTCTCTTTAAGGATGGTTTCAGTTAATTGTGTTGGGATTCGAACTCATTCAGGAACTGAATTTCAGAATGTGCCATTACTTTCTGTCAAGTCAACAGTGTTAGATACAATATCAAACAAGATTAGCTTACCCAGAGAAGAGATTCTATAGGATGAGGGTGGAGTAAACCTATGATCCCATGATACCAAGAAAGTCCTGCACCCATCATGAAAATGCCCACTCCACTAATCAGGGAGGCAATATAGCGCATGTTTGTGAAACCATACCTGGATGAAAACAAAGAAAGGGATTTAGGACAGTAAGATCCTTTATCTCTGCAAACATATCTACAAGTCTTTTCCAATAATTTTGACATGTCTTACACAGATACCCAGTCATATGACAAGACAAAACTGCTAAATCCAACCTAAACCAAGGAAACAAAAAAGGCACCTGGAAAAGGGTATCTAGTACATGCAAGGACATTGAATATAGATATTTTTCTAATTCATTTTTGAACAAGCTATTTACATAGCTGTATTAGCTCTTTTGCAGAGACTGAGGATTTTACTTCTGTAAAAAAAAATCATCTCACTGTTACATTTTATTGAAATGTTACTTCTAAATGAAAACTCTAGCCTTAGAGGCAGCCAGTCTACATACTTTATAATGCTAATTTAAAGGGAATAAAATTTCTGACATATTTAAGTAGTTCAGCTAACTGCTCACATTGAACACTTGCAGTTTTTAAGAGCAGTGGGAAGAGCTTAGCCGTATTAGAAGTGTACCTTTATTCCTTTTTCTGGTATTAACTGCTACTACAAACAGTAGCTTTCTTTAGCAACATTTAAAAACCTATAGTACAAAAGAATATATTAAAGAAGAAGGGGAAAAAATTGAGAGAGGGGAAGGAGATACAAAGAATATTTAGACAAATTTAGGGTTAACATTTTTTCAAATTAGAATCATAGAATGGTTAGGTTGGAAGGGACCTTAAAGATCATCTAGTTCCAACCCCCCTGCCATCAGCAGGGACATCTTCCACTAAATCAGGTTGCTCAAAGCCTCATCCAACCTGGCCTTAAACACTTCCAGGGAGGGGGCATCCACAATTTCTCTGGGCAACCTGTTCCAGTGTCTGACCACCCTCACAGTGAAGAATTTCTTCCTAATATTTAATCTAAACCTGCCCTCTTTCAGCTTAAACCCATTTCCCCTTGTTCTGTTATTAACTGCCCTTATGAAAAGTCCCTCCCCAGCTTTCTTGTAGTCCCCTTCAGGTATTGGAAGGCTGCTATAAGATCTCCCCGGAGCCTTCTCTTCTCCAGGCTGAACAGCCCCAACTCTCTCAGCCTGTCCTCACAGGAGAGGTGCTCCAGCCCTCGGATCATCCTGGTGGCCTCCTCTGGACTCGTTCTAACTGGTCCATGTCTTTCCTGTGTTGGGATTACCTCATGTTCTTAATGATTAGACATATTTTGAATTACTGTTTACAGTACAAATAACTTGCCTAAATATGTGAAGTGTAAATACCAACAAAATATCATGAAGAGAACAGCTTCTAACTTTCATCAAGCTGTAAGAACTTATCAGAAACATCCCTATTACTCAGATAAAAACAAAGAGCCGTTTAAGTCAAACACATCTTATGATACAAGTAGATGCCCTGCAGAAAAGCACTTTGCTGAAAATAGGAAGAGGACAGTATTTTTCAAAAATCTTGTAATTCACATGAACATTGTTTAAAAAAAAGTAAATCTATCCATTGGAAGAAGCAGAAGAGACCACAATAATTTAAAGAATTAACGTCAATTATAATAATAAACATTAAAAAAAAATGAAATATAACATGCATCAAGCCACTGAAGCTACAACCCCTGCGGTTTGGAAGAAATTTCTTTTCTTATTTTATCTATTCTACAATTAAAAACAATGCATTCCAGAAATGATACGAAACAGTAGATTAAAAAGAACAAGATGATGCACAAACAAGAACTGATCTTACTCCTATATATAATTACCAAAATCATTATTTACTCAAAAAGCTTACGGATGACTAGGGTCAGGCGTCCTTGCAGACTGACTGATGCCCAAAGCTAGCAATGCCTATAGGACAAAAGGAAAAAACTTTTGTTAAAAAAAAAAAAATTAAAAAAATTAGAAACATAGACTATATTAATTGAACCTTAAAGATAAAGGCAGATGCAATTTGCTGATTCTGTACATATGCTTTGTTACCAATATTTTGTTAGAGCTGGAATATAATCCTCAAAATCTGTCATTAAAATCTACCGCCCCAAAAAAATTGTTAATTATACTTATATATATATATATAAAATATACATAATTATATAGTGTGTGTATATACATATAATTCCTGTTAATTATAATTTTAGAACTGCAGCTGAAAGTAAACATTATCTGCAATCCAACAAGTGTGTTTGCTCTGCTTCAATGTGAAGGAATGAAGTTGTTCCAGGAACATAGCTATTTAAATAAACTCCTCTTGATGAGAAATTATACAGAGACTATGGTGATGGCATACTATATTTAAAGCAGTAATTTTACACTGCAGCTTCTTTCAGTAGTGAACTTTGTATTTTCCAAACTAAAGAACAAAATTATTTTGAAGGACGAAATAAAGAACTCTTCCTATCTAAATGGTCCATTTGGGACATACTTAATTAGGTATGTATTAAAACTATTGATGCAGTAAGTTATAAATCTAGACCTCAGTTTTGCAAAGCATGTGCTTTGTTTTAGGACTATGAATTACTGAAACATAATAACAAATATTAAAATTTGGACACTTTAGTCTTTGCAACAGCAAGCTGCTTTGAGGAAGCAAGGTTTCTTCCGTGCTTTTGCCCAAAGATTCAAGTATGTGGTTTTGGGAAACCCCACCCCTGCATTTCCAGCAGAACATTTAACTTTCATGTTTAAAAAAAAACAGAATAGCTCTTCCACATGTAAGTGGTAGATAACACCACTATCAAACCTGGTTCATCTATAAATTGACACACTTGGCCAAATGAAAATCACACACTTAAGGCTGCCTCCCCATAGATTTCTTTAAGTATTATCAGTGGAGCTAGTAGCACCTGTCTTCACTTTACAGCTGGAACAGTTGAAAGGCTGTGTAAAGCCATTTACTGAGAAACAGCAAACAAAAATCTGAGTCTTCAACTCAGTCTTTCTGGACACAGAAGCATACTAGGTACAACTGAAGCAAAAATTATGTTAAAATGCTTTTTAAGTTACTGAGTCTGCTCTAAGGTTCCATAAACTCCTCAAATTTGGAGGAGCACAAGACTGTTGCATTTTATATGAGTCACAAGCTATCCAAGAACTCCTCTTGCTTGAGCTGCAGGAGGGTTTCAGCCACTCTCTCTAAGAACTTTTTTTTTTTTTCCAAAGCCTTGCTGTATCAAAAACTGCAACAAGAAAGATTCTCTCTACACTTGGTGAAGGGGAAATTTCAAGGTCTCGTAATGTATGTCTCAAGCATACTAAAGAAAATACTGAAAAAAACGTGTTATTTTGTTCCTGCACACTAATATAACGTGTGAGTTATATTAGTGAGTCTACCACACCACCTGTCAAAGTAAGTGTGCCAAGTATGTGGCTACCTGTGCTATGAGGGGCTGCTAAGGCAGTCTAGGAATAGAAAAAAAATACAGAGATGCTCAAATTCTCATTATTATTCTACCAAGAGATGACCAAGCAACTAAGTTTGTCATTCTATTACAATAACTGACAAGACAAGTATTTCAAGTTAACATTTATCCAAAATAAGAAAGAGGTGCACTTTGTACATCATCTTAGTTTCAAGTCCCACTTACGATCCATGAAGTAGTTGAGAATAGTTCTGCTTACTACAACTCCACTCTTTCAACTCATTTATAAAAAAAACTTCAGAATCTACATTCTGACCTGTCTTATTCTTACATTAATACAAATTTTAAAAATACCCAATTTTAATTTTCTTTTTATTATCTGGACAGGCACTCAATAATAAATTTAAGATTACCAATACATCATTTTGTCCAGGAGGGGCAGGGAAGAATGAGCATGTAACCCAAATTACTGCAATTCTGTGCAGATACCACTTCCTAAAGACAAGGCATATGCATTGTAACAAAATTAAGCCTGTCCTGGGACTTATTTCCTAGTGTTTGTATATTTGAATAATATTATAACCTGTTTAACCTTTTCTGGTGCACTTTCATCTTGATAGTTACACAGAAAACAAACTGCAGCTCAAGTATGTAGCAACCAATTATATGAAAAAACAATAGTTTAGGAAAGAACAACAGAAGTAACTGGGGCAGATGGTTTGAAATAATGTAGCTATATTACAAATACTATTATATTAGCAGAAATACTAGTCCAAACACCTTTCAAATAGACTTTATTTATAATTACAGGTGGCTTTCTAGATTCCTTCTGCATTTAAGGCTTCTAGACTAGGTCAGTTGTTTTACTGTTAGTTTATAAACCCTCCATCAAATCACTGGTATCAGTATAAAAAAAAATTAAAAAAAATAGAAGAGTAGCCAAATTAACCCCTAGAAACCACCAGTTGAAACCACTAGTTTTGGCAAGTAAGTTTGCAACAGAGTAACAACAACTTTGCACTCAGATGCAGAAAGAAGCTCTGGGCTTAGCAATACTTCTAAGGTAATGTGAGTTTCTGACAAAATATGCCTTCATCTGCCTGCAATTTGATAAAAACTGTATATTATAACAACAACATTACTTTATAAGTGAGATTCGCTTTTGTCTCTGGGAAGCTAAAAAACATACATGGATACTACACACATAGGGAAAAGAGTACATCTTCCATCCCACTGCATGCAGACAGAGCTTGGTCACACTCTTGGAACCCTTTGTAACCTGAATGACTGAAGCCAGAAATTATTTAATAATAAAGTAAAACACAAAAATATCCTCTCCCAGATGAAACTGTTTACTTAAAAAAAACCCTTTAAGATTCTTTTGCCTCAATTATTTAAATGGGCATTAGATCAAGTACTAGCTTTTTTCCCTCCTAGAATATACTACTATTAATTCTAAGTATGTAAACCATAGAAAACAGCACAAAAATGATCACAGGTATTGTACAGGAAGAGCACTGTAAATACACACCACAGCAGAACCAGAGAGTCATTTTTAGTAAGAGTTGTGGCTAATAAACTTGGAATTTCTAGACTTATCTACAATGCTGATGTTATCTGTAAGCAAACTTTGTAAAGAAAAATTATTTTGCCATGTGCTCCTAAGTAAAATACTAGTTTCATTTCTCTGGTGTTTATTATTCAGACAGTATAGGCAAACTAAGAAACACTATTAGATTGAATTATTGCTTTCAAATGTAATACAACTATTATAAGTATTTGTCTTTATTCCTGAAAAATTACTACAAGTACTAACTGAAGCAGAATGGAAAAAATACTCACCTGGTTACATGTGTCTGCTAAAGAATGTATGGCTTCTGAAAACATACTTGCAGAACCCGTGTAAACCCAAGCAAGTAGCTTAAAGAAAAAATTCAACCCATTTCTGAAAACAAAGAGAAGAAATAAGCTAAAGAAAAACAGAATATCCAGTCTTTCATATTTTCAGCAAAACCACAAGTGCCGTGTAATCATGCGTTACCTGCCAGCAAGCGGTGAACCCAAGTATCAGTTTAATCACTAGAGACCTGCACAGGCAGATAAGGCACACACATTTTCTGCATGGCTACTGTTGAAAAACCCTTTCAGCTAAACTTGATACGTAAAGACATACAATTTATTTTTCCAAAATCATTAACTTCTAAGTAGTCCTGAAAAAATTACACTTCCTGAAAACTACCATCACATTCACTACTCAGAACAACTAATTGCCTACCAGTGGGAGATTACAGCCTGAATCATTTCCTTTTCTCTTTTTTCAGTTCTTTGACTCCTATACATCCCCTCCTAATACTGCAATGCAAGGTCCCCCACTTCAATCTCAGCTTAAGCAACTCCCAGTAGGATACAAACATAAGACAACATTCAGAAAGACATGGCTGTCATTAGATTATGCTATTAAAATGATCTATGGAACTTTTCCATTAAGATGTCCGGTGTGACTTGTCAAGTTTTTTTTTAGGTTAAGAGCTCACTGGAGTTAAGCATTGTGTTATCTTGTGCAGAGAGAGGTAACTATTAACACTAAAATCCGAGTCTACATTCCTACTTCAAACATTCATTATCAGAATCAGTAGGTTAATTTTACAATCATACTGCTGCAACAAGAAACAGACTAGAGGATTATAACATTCTTCTCTATCTTTTTAAATATATTTGAGTTTGGCTAATTGGCAATTTTTAGAAGCATTCAAATGAAATTGTTATAAATAAGTACTAACAACATGTTGTAGTTGCATTTTTGAACAACCACATGCCAAGAAATAATATGTAAGCCACTTGCCATACACCAAATATATAGTTGATTAAATAACAGTCATTTCCAAGGTCATCCTTAAAGAATTTCTGCGAGAGTACATCCACTTCTTCAAGAAAGAGGTAGCACTGTTTTCTATACCTTCTTCCATCCAAGGACCTGAACATGCTTTACAATTTTTAACTTAGTCTCATGACCTCATGAGATGGTGAAGCATCACCACAATTTATAGGTGGGAGTAAAATAATTCTTAGTTAATGGATAACCCAAGAAGAAAGGAAGCCTGTTGGAACACTAAACCCTAATTTAAACTCCCTGTGTTAATTACATGTTTTTCCAACCCACAGCATAGTGCATCTTTAGCATAGAAATAAAACTAAATAAATTACAGTGGGATTCATGAGCAAAATCTCTTGACTTTTGTATTGTTCTTCTCAATGTTCAGTTAATGGAGTTGACAGTTTATCTGAAGGTACAGTTCAGTTGTGGGGCCGCTCAGATGACACAATAGGTGCTCAGCTGATATTTTATTTCACCCCTACAAATCCTGAATTTGGGGGGGAAATTGACATCCTAAAAATCTAAAAAGAAACCACACCAAGATTTCAAAAGTCAGGCCCAGCAAAATCGACCTGTTAATGATGTTCAGTAAGTTGGAGACGCAGGATAGAAAGATTAAAGGTGCTACATGGGAAATAAATAGGAAAGAGAAAGAGTAGTAAATCTCAGCAGAACTTAAACCAAAGCCAGGTAAAGTCTGGAAAAGATTTATTGCAATGTTTTGAACATCAACACCAAGAAATAAATAAATAAAAAAAACCCCCCACAAAAAAACGCAAACACACAAATCTTTGATTCATTACGTACAATTCTCTTGCTTATGAAACTTAATACTATGCAACATTTTCTAATAAGCCTCTCTTCTACACTTAGAAAATAAGCAGTTTCATTCAACACAGCATTTTATAACTGTATTCCAAAGTCCACAAAGGAGGCAGACATTCACTAACAAAATGGGAGGGGGCAAATGTTGAAACAGATACACACCTCCCTTGCTGTCAGAAATCTTGTCAATTTTAGTGTAAAGACTAAATTTATTTGGTAACTTTAAAATGTACTGATACATGAACAGAATCAGCCTTTCTTTGAAAAGAAAAAAAAAAATACACAAATGCAAAAGCAGATCAAAATCAGTTATTCAAATCAAGGTTCGTAACTTAATTTAAATTACAACTAAAACAAATTCAAATAAATCTATCCTGACTGAACTAAAATATAGAGAACTCCTCTGCTTTTGACTGAGCCACATTTCATTCTCACTGGGGAAGCCTGAAGTTTGTAAAAAGCCTACAAAATCGTTCCAACCAGAAAGTTAAGACAGATTGATCGTTCTTGACCCAAAACCAGAAGCCATTAAAAATCCACACGGATGTCAAGAAGATCAGGGCCACGAACAAAGGAGCACTGATGGTGAATCACGATTTTAAATCTCTGAAAAATCACCAGGTATTTGAGGGCCAAGAGATCCTTTAAATTCTAAAAAAGCTCTACAAAAAGATGACTGAGCAATACAACAGGCTCTATAAACTTCTGCTGGCCTGGCTGCCAGGCATTCATCTGTAAAAGTACCCAATCATCCAAAAGGTATTTACGAAGTGAAGAGAGTGAATGTTTATAGCAATGCCCTATTTAAAAAGCAGGAGGAAAGGTCTGGGTTTTTTTCTCTTGATCACTGTAAGAAAGTGAAGGAGGTAGAAGTCACCATACAACACTCTCTGCCCCACCTCCCTTTTCTCCCCTCCCCCTCTTTTTTTTCCCCTATTAGAAACATTCATATTAGCAGTTCTTAGATGTTTTTAACTTAGAAAGCTCTGAATAGTTACTAGTACCATACTCAATAAATAGGCATGTTCTCAGTCAAATAAATGAGCTTTGTGGTTTTTCCCTTCCCAAGCAAAAAGCATATAGTTTTGTAGAAAAACTCAAGAGTTATTTCCTGCTCAAAATGTTTCCTGTGCCAAAAGAGTGTTTTCCCTATGTTTCTATTTTGCTTCCTTATATCAATAGCGTCTTAGCAAGTAGATACCTTTTGTAAAATCAAATTTATTTTTAAAAATTCACAGGTTTTATGGCAAGTAAATTTTAGCCATCACTTCATGAGAAACTTAACACACTTCCCTATATTTCATGCCAGATAGACTGTGTTCATTTGCTTTAAATCAGGACCATGAGTTTAGTTTTGTTTCATTCAAGTTTGTAAGACAAAAACCTCTTAAAATATCCTGTTTTCAGTCAGAGAGGAAGAGTTGAGTAACAGCAGAAATTAAAAAGTTAATTCTTTTCTGTTGGTTATACAGAAGATTGTTTAAAACATATTAAAAGCTTCCTCTCAAGGAGGAAGAAAAAAGGACAACTTTAAATGCCTGCCTCTTCATGTCCTTCAAAATTTCAGTTTTTACTGTAATAAATTGTTTAGTCTGATCAAATTCAAGAAATTTGCTCTTCTCTGATCAGAGATACATTCTATCCCTGAGCTCTATATATGCATGAGTGTATTTATCTAAACTCTGTCCCATCAACAATAAACAAACAAATCTATTCATTTCAGTTACAGAGACACAGGTATCTTCAGCTTGAATACACAGACTGTTCTCATTTCCAAGATAATAAAAATAAATTGTTTTATACTTGCACAAACAAAGCATTTATTTTTTTAAACTTACATGCAAATAGCTACCATTACCACCTTCCCTGGTCCCTTGAAAAACATAGCTGCTGCACTGGAGCGTGGCTATATAAAGAAATAAGAGATTATTAAAATAAAATAATCAAATCTTGACCTCATGAAGGACCTTTCGTACAAATTATTAAATAAAAACTTGGCATTGCCCTGTATTGTAAAAGTGAAGCTACAGTTGTTGAAGCCTACTAATTTACTACTGAATGCTCACCCAAACTGCAGTCATACATTTCTGTAAATGGATGGCTACAAAAAGGATAAACAACCAACGAAGCCTCCAGCAGGGGCCACTGCAACCATAAGGACAGGAGCCAGCTGTGCAGCAGAAAGATTAAGAAATCATTCCACCACAGCAGAGCACCTGAATCTAGGAAATTGGTCTGCTTAAGCAAAGAGGAAGGGCCAGTGGGGCACAGAGCAAAGTGTTAATGTTTTAGGCTTTTTT